AACCACGAGGTCAGAAGTTTAAACCCACTTCTCAGAAACCCTATACAGTCACTTGGAGTGGGAACTAACTCAACAGCACTTAACATCCATGTTAGCAAAATTTAGATGGAACTTTGGGCATTTTAGTTTTTATTCAGTTCCTAAAACCATTAATATAGAAAGTTTCCAACTTGTGTCTTAGAACACACTTTTAAAATAGTGTTTACGTTAGATATATATTGAAAGCACTCTTGTCAGAATTATTTTGTGATGGGTATGTGGAGTCCTGGTATGGCATTGTAGGATAAGCAATGGTTTGTCCACTAATGATCATTAATGAGAAAATGTTGTTAAGTGCATTCGAGTAGGTTCCGACTCATAGCAATCCTGTATAGGGTTTCCTAGGAGTGGCTGGTGAGTTTGAATTGCTGACCCTGTGGTTCAAACTGACCTTGGGGTCCAGGGCTTTATCCCACTGTGCCCCACATTATTGCCCTTCTTACATCAAAATATAAATAAATAAAATAAAGCTATTTTCTTTTTGTTCTCTCCCTTTTTTTTCAATGACTCACTACGTTACCCAAGTTAGCACATGTTTACAGTCTACCCAGTGAATAATTCTCCATTCCTCTCACAATCATAGAATGTTTACTATGCAATTGAAATCTTTTCTTGACTTTTTACAATAGTGATCTCATACAATATGTATCCCTTTGTAATTTCACTCAGCATAATGTCCTCCACGTTTGGTGATGTTTTGCAGATTCATTGTTACGCTTCAGTGTTACATAATATTCCAGTGTGTATGTACCAGAGTTTATTCAGCCATTCCTTTGCTGATCGGCATCTAGACTGTCTCCATCATTTTGCTATTATGAATAGTGCTGCTGTGAACATGAGTATGCAGATATCTAGTTGTCTCATGGCTATTATTTCTTGAGGATACAATACCGAGTACAGAGATTATATAGCATTATATAGCATTTTATTTTTCCAACCTTCTGAGAAAGTGCCCTCCATTTTCCACAGTGATTGAACCATTTTACAGTCCCACCAGTAGTGTAGGAAGGTCCCATACTCTCTACATGCTTTCCAACATTCATTGTTTTCTGGTTTGTTTTTAACTTAGTTATTCATGCTTGGGTAAGATGATATCACCCGCCTTGTTGGTTTGATTTGCATCTCGCTAATGGCGGTAATAGTGAGTATTTCTCCCTAAGTGTGTTGCTACCTGAATGTTCTCTTTAGTCAAGCGTCTGATCATGCTCTCTGCCCATTTTTAATTGCATTATTTTTCTTATTATCATTTGAGGTAGGAGTTTTTTGTTTTGTTTTATGACCTGTTCACTTTCTCCCTATGGGGTAGAATTTTCTACCCCAGATTGTGTTTGTTTGGGTTGATAGAATTTTTTTAGAAGTTTGTCCTTTTCTTCTAGGTTTTCAAATTTGTTGGAGTAGTTCTTCATAGTGTTCTGTTATTACTCTTTTTCTTGCAATCGATTCTGTTGTGACATCAACTGTTTAATTTCTTATTTGTGATATTTACATCTTCTCCTTTTCCCTAATCAAAAGTACCAATGGTTTCTCCAATTTATTAATCCTTTAAAAAAAATAATTTCTGGTCTTGGTTATTCTTTCTATTATATTTTTGTTTCCTTTATTTCTGCTAGAATCTTTTATGTCCTTTCTTCTGGTGACTGTCAGCTTTTTTGCTGTTCTTTTTGTAGTTGCTAGAGATAATTGGGTTAAAGTGTTGATTCTGGTTGTTTTTTTGCAATGTATGTTTTTATTACTATTAATTGCCCTGTGGGTACCACTTTTGCTGTGTCCTAAGAATTTTAGTATCTTGTGTTTTCATTCTCATTTGATCCAAGGTATTAAAAATTTTTTTATTTGATTACCCAGTAGTTTTTAGTAGAATGTATTGTTTCCATATATTTGATTTTTTTCCCCCTTTGCTCTTCCTGTTGTTGGTTTTCTTTTTATATCATTTTTACCTGAGAAGATACTTAGTTGTGTTTTGGTGTTTTTTAAAGTGTATGGAGGCTTCCTTTTCAACCTAACATATGGTTCACTCTAAAGAATGTTCTGTGTGCACTGATAAATAATGTATTTTGTGCTGTTGTTGGGTATAGTGTTTTGCATACATCTGTGGTGCTGCAGGATAATGCACTAGACTGCAAGGTCAGTTTGAAACACAAGGTCGGTGGTTCAAACCCACCAGCAACTCTTTGGAAAAATTGATACAGGGTCACTATGAGTCAGAACCAACTCGACAGTAGTTAACAAGAGCAACATGAGGTTGATTGTGTTGTTTTAAGTCTTCTATGTCTTTGTTGAGTTTTGAATTGCTCTGTCTCCTGTTATAACTCCTGTTATATGTGGAGTTTTCAATTGGGTTAAAGTTTGACTTAATGTATTTTGGGGACCTCTCATTGGGTATGTAGATATTTATCATGGTTTTGTCCTCTTGTTCAACTGATCCTATAATCATTAATGTCCTTCCTTGTCTCTTTTCCTGTTCTTTTGCCTTAAAGTCTATTTTATCAAAAATTAATATTGCCACTCCTGCTCTTCTTTGGTTCCCATTTGTATGATACATGATTTTTCATCTTCTGATTTCTAGCTTGTTTTTGTCTTTGGGTCTGTTGTAGACAATTTATTGATGAATCATGTTTTCTTATTCATTCTGTTACTCTATGTCTTGATTAAAAAGGTTTTTCATTGTAGCAAATGAAGGGGTTTTGTTTTAAACTCAGAGCATTATGTAATTACATACTGGGCACCGTACATGTTGTTGTTGTGTGCCGTGGCGTCAGTTCCGACTCATTGCGACCCTGTACAGGTTTTCCGAGGCTATAAATCTTTAAAAAGAGGAGCAGAAAGCCTCATCTTTCTCCAGCAGAACAGCTGGTAGTTTCGAACTGCTGACCTTGTGGTTTGCAGCCGGATTCGTAACCACTACACTACCAGAGCTCCTTGGGCACTATACATAGAGTCTCTAGTATATGCTACTCTGCAAGGCATAGATTATTGTCCTTATTTTACAGACCTTCAAACTGAGGTTTAGAAGGAGTAAAGTCCTTGACAAAGAGCACACTGCTGTTTAATAGCAGAGGTGAGGTTCAAGCCTTTTTATTTTAAATCTATACCAGACCAACCCCATCTTTCCATGCTTTTAAGCATTCCTGGCAAGTAACTAGACATATAAAGCCATCAATAGCCAATGAGCATGTTCCTTGTAATACAGAAATTGCCAACCTATATCATGTTGTGCTTAACTTTAAGATTTGACTACTCCTCCTTCTTTCCTTGCTATTTTTATTTATATTAGCAACAGCTTTCTTTGTTACCAAGGAAGCTGCCTGAATTTACCTCCCTCCTTAACCAAACCACAACTCCCCTACCATTCAGTTTGTAGAACTTCAGGCTTCTGTCTCTTCAGACAACTCATCCCACCCTTTCTTTCATGGTACCATTAATATTCGTCTCATCTCTCAGAATTACACATCAGTTAGGTTTAAAATGATTAACAGAGGTCTCGGTTTTATCATTGGTATCTCCCTACAGTCATATGTTCTTCATGAGAAATGAGCAACATTTGCATTCTACCTCATAGAAGCAACTTATTTTAATGTGGACAATGTACTATTATATGTGAACTGGTTCAAAGCATTATATGTGGAGTAGCTACTTTGGAGAGGCAAAGAAACGCTAAATCCTATCCTGATGTTGCTGATTCTAAAATATAAAAAGTTTAAAAATAAGTAAAACCTTGTTTTGAATGGCTTTCTCTTGGAACAAGGCAGGCATTTGCTGCCCATATTCCTTGAATGATACATGGTTGTCAGTATTTGGTGAATTGGACATATGGGGGCATAGTGCATAACCAGTCTGATTCTAGAGCATTAAGTGTTGACTGGTGACAGATGTCCTTGCCATATCATAGCATGCTGTGCTGTGGCAGATGCCATCTTTCATCTTATTTCATACTTGCGGCCACAGTTTAGGGGAAGTGAGTCTTTTTTAAGAAATGAAATAGAAGCTGGGAAAAGGCAGGTGGATTTTTCCAAGGTGATATGGCAAGTAAGGGATAGGAATTTGAGCAAGGTTTTATCTGAGTGGTATCCTTTGGAAAATTTGAAGATTTGGGTCATTAATCCCATTTTTCCTATCCTATAAATTTTAAACAATTTGAGAAATATAGACTGGGGATTACTGATAAAGCAGAATACCAAATCAAAACCAAAGTCATTGTCACTGAGTCAATCCCAACTTACAGCACCCCTGTATAGAGTTTCCTAGGCAGTAAATCTTTATAGGAGCAAAAAGCCTCATCTTTCTCCCACAGAGCAACTGGTGGGTTTGAACTGCTGACCTTGCATTTAGCAGTCCAGCGCTTATCCTACAGCATCACCAGAGCTCCTTTAAACAGAATTGGAGAACTAAAAAATGTCTCTTAGCCTCTTTTTCTGAAACCAAAACATGTATTCCACCCTAGCCATTCTGATTTAGTCATCCAGTAACACCTGGCAAGAAGTTGTAACCAACAGCTGGCTTCTCCCAAAGAGTAGGCAGCCACTGTCCTGCTTACTGAGTGAAAATTAGGTGGTTCTAGAGTTAGAGAGAGCTGGAGGGAGCTATCTCTTTTTTGCCTAGCTCAGTGCAGTGGTTAAGTGCTAAGCCAATGCATTCTTCAGTCCTACCAAGGCAAATTAGTCACTTTTGGAGAGATGTAAGGAGAAAGAAAATAGGTTACTTACTCTTGCCTAGGAAATAGATTAAAAATATCTTCTGAAAACCCAAGAGAGAGAAGGGTTCTTCACTCTTGTCCTCAACAGTAGGTATACTGCTGTTTTTAAATTCTTTTTCTCTTGGGGTGATCTTATATATTGTTCTTTTCTTTTTTGTTTTTCAATAAAAAGGAAGAGAAAACTATCTTTTTCTCTGTGTAACACATTATAAAGCAAAAAAGGCCTTTATTAAACATTTAACTAATTGTATTTTTCTCTAATTGTGACAGGTGATGGAAATGTACTGGAACAATGGGAGAAGCCGGTAACTTATAGGAAGCCAAGATGACAAGAATTTTCTGAAGTAATCAGTAAGTAATTTTTCTTAGTTCTTTGTTGTCTATTTGCTGCAGAGCGAATTTTCTGTAAGCAACCATGATAAAAGGACGGGACAGACAAATAGCTTTAAAGTCTAAAAGAGAACATAAAAAGTAAATATCCATATACTTCAGAAAATTGGTATTAACATTTGAGAAATTTTGGTTTTGCCTATGTTTGTCTTGGTAAGATGTGTCATGTTAAGTTGGGTGCACCAACTTGGTGGAGAGAGCAGAAGTATTTACAGCATCATTAAAGGATTTAGACGCAGTATCGACTTTTCATTTTTAATTGAAAATACCTTTCTCAAAGGCAGAAATTCTTGGCTCTGGTGGTTCCTTGGGCCTCCTTTCTCACTGAGTTCCTTCTGTGAGTATATCGTTGTTGTTGTTGTTGTTGTTGTGAAGTGCCATCGAGTCAGTTCCGACCCATAGTGACCCTGTATAGGGTTTCAGAGGAGCTGCTGGTGAGCTTGAACCGCCGACCTTGCAGTTCACACAGCTTTGCACTCTGGCGCATTAACCCACAGCGCCCCACTGGAGGTGAATATGAGCACATGGGTGAATGGGAATACAATGTGCTCTTTGCCTGCACTTGTCCATATCCTGCTGTGAATGCCCTTTTTTATACACTAGAGGCAGTTAATGTTTGAGAATTATGTGACAGTTACATGTGGTTGATTTAAATTTCATTATGACAGTGACAATGTAACTACCTGGGGTGGCTTAGTGAAAAGGTAGCATGTTTTTCAGTCAGTCATATTTTTTAGGCCTGACTCTTGCTCTTGTGCTTTTTAGTACTCATGTTCTCAAAATCGCAGTTGACTCATCTGTAAATTGGAGACGATAAAACTTCTCAGGAAATGAAAACCTGTGTAGCTAGTACCTAGTGCTGTGACTGGTACGTAGTGGAGGCACCATAGATGGTGTTACTTCTCTGTATTGGAATTTTTATTTACAATTTTAGCCTTTTATTTTGACTCAAAAGATTGGGCAGCTTAAACTTCCTAGCTGTTGTCAAGCAGTGATGAGCTAACATTGTAGATACTTGATGTGCAGGAGAATGCTAACAAGTTGGACCTCGACCAACCGAGGAGACTTTGTAGTGTTTGTGGATTTCTGTGTGTGTATACAAGCACCATGGCTGATTTCAAGCTACTAAGGACATGTCACCAGACTTAGTTGGAAAAAGGTGTGCCTTTTTCTACCATACAGGCACAAAATAGTTGTAGATAATATCAAGTAGTAAAATATTTACAGAGTGATAATGTTTGACTGTTTATTTCCTTTGTTTCTAGTGTAATTCAATTTTAAGTTTAACTTAAGTTTCAACCATGGCCTTACTTAACAACTGTCTTATAAAAATCCTGAGAATTTAACAATTGGCCTAAGGGAGCCTGTGTGATTCAGCTCCAGGGCACTGCTGATTGTAGGTTTCCTGTTGTTAAGGTATTTCTAAGCAGCAGTTCTTTAATTATCTGTCTCAGCCCTGGTGGTGAGAGTTTGGTTTAATTGATAAAAGCAGGGCTTGGTTTTGAATCAGTGCTTGGTAAGGCAAGTTGTCTTGCTTACATAAATTCTGGAACTGAAGATAAGTGCTGAGACCAATTTAGAGTTTAAATCAGTTTTCCTCCGGAGTGTGACTGGAGTTTGAAGTTGTTGACTCAGCTGTGTAAGTTATCCTGGCTGGCATAGCTTGTCTCCTCTCGCTGTTGAGTGACATGCTTGAAGGTAGATCAGACTGTTCATCCCTTTTGGACGGACTTCTCTCTCTTCCCAGACTCTCAATTCTAGCTTCCTTCAGCTTACTGCCACTTCAAGGACAAACAACCAGGATTCTTGACACCAACGCTCGGCATGCAGCTTTGCCTTTAACAATGAAGTTTCAATGAAAAATGAATTGCCTCAGAGAGTTTAAAACAGCAACAAGAAGAAGACCTGGGCAGCTTAGACTTTAGACTGGCTTGATTAAAATCTTGGAGAGTAAGATGGAGGAGAGAAAGGAAACTGAACCAGATATCTGAGTGTTTGCCTCTTCATTTTTCTAACTTGCCCTTTAGAAGGGAACAATTGAAGCCTGAAATTGCTAAGTAACAGCTGAGATTGTGGTGGTTGTTTTTATTTTAAAGTCTCACCCACCTAGTTCTCAAAACACATTCTTTATTGAACCTTAGAAACTTCTTTGGATATTTCAAAACATTAATTTGTGTTAATTTCCTGATAGCTGAATCAGGCTTACATACTTTTAAAACATTCATTTCCTTTATGCCTCTGGAAACAAAAGGTATTTGTAATTCCCACTGAGTCAGGCATGGATTTGAGTTATTTCAGAAGTACTATTTCCCATTTCAAGAGGAAGCTATGATTAGAAATTAGAGACTTGCATTTGGATTAGGAAATATAACACATGTCTGGATCAAATTGAGTTAAGGGTATCTTTGGTTATTTGAAAGCAATAATTAGTATTTGAAGAAATAATTAACAGAGGAATTTCTTCACAGATTAAACATTTTATAATATTTCTCCCCAGAGAGCATTCCCTATACAAAGGAAATTTAGATTAGAGAGGTGCTAGGGGTATGGTGGTGGTGGTGGTTATGTGCTGTTGAGTCGGTTCTGACCCATAGCAACCCTGAAAAGGGTTTCCGAGGCTGTAAATCTTTATGGGAGCAGAAAGCCTCATCTTTCTCCCATGGAACAGCTGGTAGTTTCGAACTGCTGACCTTGCGGTTCGTAGCCCGATTCATAACCACTGCGCTACCAGAGTATAGTGTCTAAACATTCAAAGTTTAGAGCCTTACGTTATGTTTACATCAACAAACTTGATAATCGGTTGCTGCTTAGGAAGTATTGGGTTGTGAGGGTGGATTCCAGTACCACCACGACAGGCTTATTTCCCTCAGGTGTTGAACGTCCTGTCTGTAATTTCAAACCTAAATGATGTGGATCTTACAAACATACACAGGAGTACTGCAAACAGGAAAAAGAGAAGAGTTTGCTGGTGGCAATAATAGTGGTTAGATCAGGGAGGTATTCATTTGAAGATAATATTTGAGTTGGGTAGTTAATGGTGATTGTTGTTAAGTGCCGTTGGTGAGGCAGTTCTGACTCACCGTCACCCTGTGTAAGGTTTCTGAGGAGCAACTGGTGCCTTTGAACTGCTGACCTTGTGGTTTGCAGTCCAGTGCTGATCCTACAGCACCACACAAGAAGTTCATTTAATGGTGGTAGTTATGGTTGTTCTTGTTAAGTGCCATCCATTTGGTTCCAACCCATAGCAACCCTGTGTAGGGTTTCAGAAGAGCGACTAGTGAGTTTGAACCACAGACCTTGTGGTTCAAACCAGCTTTGCAGTCCAGCGTATTAACCCACAGCGCCACACCAGAAGGCCATTTAATGGTTAATACTGCTTTATTAAAAATTTTAATTATAAAATTACAGTATTAATTGGAAAGAATGTAAAAATTCTTCAAAATAGAAAACTCAGTAATATTATCACTAGTCAGAGACAAACACTATTAACAGTTTTCTTGTGTCCTGCCATATTCTTTATGCCTTAAGGCTGATTGCTTGCACTTTTCGTTCTTGTAAAACACGCTGTGATAAACAGCTTTGTGCACCTATCTTGGTTCAACTCTCCAGTGATTTATTTGGTCAGGATATTTGAATAGAGTTAGCGTCAAGTACTTAGGGAACATTCTAAGCAGAAGAAACAGTTTGAGCAGGAAGATAGAGTCCCTACTGAATAGTTTTCATCTTATCTAGATGGGTCTGGTGAAAGAGATGGGGATAAGATTCTTATAATTCAATCGTGAGTAATTGTTATCATGACTAATTGAGACTGTCACAATTGTAAAGGTAGAAATTTTGTAACAAAAACAGGGCAGTAGTTAATCTTACAGTCCAGAAACAGAGGACCTTAGGACCATTAAGAGAGACGAGCACAAGCAGAATGTGGGACCTTATCTAGAGAAGCAGCGACATCAGACATGGAGGCAGAGATGGGGACATGGAGATAGGGAGCAGCTGAGGACTCTAGATTCATGGAAAGAGAGGGACTGAGAGCTGGTGGCCAGGAGGCACACTTGTAGAATGTGCCCTTTGGTAGTTTGTTGTTGTTGTTTGTTGTTCTGACTCATAGCAACCCTGTTCAGGGTTTCTGAGGCTGTAAATCTTTATGGGAGCAGAAAGCCTCATCTTTTTCCCGCGGAACAGCTGGTAGTTTAGAACTGCTGACCCCGAGGTTCACAGCCCGATTCATAACCACTATGCTACCAGAGCTCTTTATTGTAGTAGTTTAAATTATTATATATGCCTGAGTGTTTAAAAAAAAAAAGCTAAAAATGAATAAATAGAAATATTATAAGTACTGATGGTACATGGAGGGGATTATAATCATTGTAATGAAACAAAGAATATGCTTTGTTTGAATGTAAAACTGATGATCTGCCCTGTAAACTTTCACTCAATTCACAATTAAAACTTAAAAAAAAAAAAAAAGAAACAATTTGAGCAAGGGAGCAGAAGTGGAAAAGGAAGGCGACTAGAGTTATAGCTTACCAAAATACAAAGAAAGTAGAATAGTAGAGTGCTAATTAAAGCTGGCAGCAAAAGATGGACTGACTGTCTTTTATCCCATTCTTACTTGCACTCCATGTTGTCATCTACACCATCAAGTGAATGACTTTGAGCACCTTCAGTTGCTCTCTTAATTTCCCTTATTTGGGAAGGAAATAAAATTGTTAACAGCTCAGGCAAGAATGCTACTGTCAGTTGCCTTGGAGTTGGCACTGACACATAACAGAATCTTGTTGTATGCCATTGAGTATGTTCTTACTCATAGCCACCCTGTATTGGGTTTCTGAGGAGTTGCTGGGAGATATGAACCAATGACCTTGTGGTTACCAGTCCAGTGCTTATTCTACAGCGCCACACCAGGACTCCGTATAACAGAATGATCCTTTTTTATAATCTTGAGAGTTTTAAGAAACTGA